CAATTCCAGAATATGAGGTCAGTTGAATATGCCGTATTGAATTGATTTCCAATGAAGTACAATTTCGCCAAGTAATTGGAGATGATACTATTAAAAGTGAGCAGATCTACTCAAGCGCGGAACGTGGATCTTTGAAAATTTTCCCACTGATAGGAAAACTGCTGGATACGTGGAAAAAGGTCATGACAATGGAATCAATAAAATAACTGATTCGGGCGTATCTGCGACAAAAATTCATGATCCTTTGCATGGAATGAGCGCATGAAATGCTGCAGATTTGTTCTGGCCAATGACTACATAATGTTTCAGCGGATAGTCAGCAACATGTACATGTACATGCACATTGACAGAGTTCGTTTCAGTGATTCAGTTGGGAGCGGAGATTTTTAGGGATATTAAGGAAAAAATCTATTTCAATGCAAAATGTGGCTAGTTATCATTGTTCTCTTTCACAAGGGTGGAATTTTACCAGCCTATATTGACCGTGTTTGCTGTATCTTCAGATCGGCAATAGTCTTCCTTCTAGTCGCTATGGCGGTAGCGTGCAAGTGAGACCGAGTGTGCTGGTAAACTCTTGTGAAATACATTGCAATCTTTTCGTTGCAAGAATCTTTTCGTTAATGAGTTGTGCCAAGCAATATGTTGTGGTTTTGTGGGAACATAAAAATTGCGATAAGTGATTGATAGGGGTCATTTTATTTAATTATCGTTTCAATCAATGTAAAACGAGCTGTTGTACTGTCATAGATGATTATCTTTGGTGAGTTAATCAAGTGAAAAATCCCTGCTAACAATTATGAAGGTGTACTGAATTGCTCCAGTTTTCTCTGAGCAATTTCACAAGTTCTGAGGATAGTTTTGCACGTTCGGACTGAAACACCTTCAAAAGTTCATTTCGAGAATTGATCTACAGAGTGNCAAAGGAAGTACCAGGTGAGAACTGGTAGTATCGCTTAAGAGGAAGTGTCTTGGGCCAATCGCTTGAACGCATTTCTCATAACAGGTTATGCATGAAAATGCGAAGCGATAAAGATTTGTTTCAGAGAGTGTCGAGAACGGCAATGTTGATGGCACATCCGGTGAAGACGCAACACAAAATAAATTTGGAAGCCAAACAGCGAACACAAAAAGTATCCCCCAGCAAATTCAGGTTGAATCGGCGAAGATGGAAGAGTTGAATGTCGACAATGATAAGTACGGAAGGCGATCACAAATTGGTAGATTACTTTTCAATATATCATCTGATCATCTGGTAACATAAAACTGATGACAAGATTAATTTAATGATATGATGACATCAAAAGGATTCCATTTCTCTTATCGTTAGTGCGTTAGGTGCTGATTGTTTGTTGAATTGAACATGCAAAAAATTTTCAAATTTGCATCAGCTTCACAGCGTAGTATCACTTGATTTCGATAAGTTCAACTATTTGAACGCGAGTGAATNTTTTCAAATTTGCATCAGCTTCACAGCGTAGTATCACTTGATTTCGATAAGTTCAACTATTTGAACGCGAGTGAATCTTTCGAGTTTCGCATCTTGCAGGTGACACAAATAAGAAGTCGACCACAAAAATAGGTTCATTGGATTCCAGTGCGTCTGGTAACGTATTTGCGATACGTTCACCAGGAAATGGAGTAGTCAGAGGTGGGTACCTCGGGTTGCCTTCACCAGAACTATTTGGTGGACATCAGTCTTATTTGGCTGTGCCTGCCGGAGCAGGGCAAATTGCTGCAGAAAGATTCCAGGATGGATGTTGTGGTGGAAGTTGGTTCTCAAGATCTGGTAAATTCTGCACACCAATCAATCTCGAGCCATGCATACCATTAATTCCGAGAGCTTGCGGTAATTAGTTTGCATTTCCTCGAAAATTTTGAAGTGTGCCCTAATATGGTAGCTGGAGCTAGAAATTAAGTCTAAAGTTGTGACGTGTCGAAAAATGTCCATTGACTTCGGTTTAGTTCATGACAGAGTGAGTCACTATAGCATTTTCGTCGAGTTTCGCAAATGAATGGCTTCGCGGGGAGTGAAAGGCGAATGCTGTTCAGAGAAAATATCGGAAACTCTTAAATTGCTATTCGACGTCTTTTCTGCAGTGTTTGGAGCTCATTTGCATTAGTTTTTCTGATAAATATTTGCGGATGCGTTAGAATAGCCTTTAACAAGAGTGTGTTACGTTAACGCCAGAAACTATAGCAGTTAGAATGAATATCCGTAGTTAAATAATTTGGTTGAAGGATGTGGACTGGACATCTTGTGTGGTTGCAGAACAGGTAAAGACTGATTAGAGTGATTCCGGCGTTCGATTGTGATTTTGCATGTTATTCGAATTTTTTGCTGAAAAATTTGCGGTTTTCAGTGATGTCAATGAACATGACATTCTCAGCACGATTATCTGCAGTTGTTATGATGCATTCCTAGGTTGCACACCTCAGTTCTCTTGTATCAATGCACCCAGAAGAAAAGCCATTTTTCACAAGCATGTGCATTTGTCCATGTACAGTCACGAGCATCGCTCGTAACACATTCACCCGAAATACACAAGTGTATGATTGGTACTCACATGTGGTCAACGATGACGTTCACAATCTCGCTAACATCCACTAGCAGCTGCTGCATACTTGCTTGAATGATTTTGATATCGCGCAATGCAGCCTAAAATTATTTGCATTTCAGTATGTTTGGATTGCGACTCACCGTGTCCACCGCCATGCTATCAACCGAGGCAAATCATTTGCAAGAAAAGAAGAAAAAGGAGGTTTGCATTTCACTATTGAATTTATTCCATTCAAGTAACAATGATCGATGATACAACATCAATTGATATGGTGTGGGATGAAAATTTTAACAGTGACTGAAATGGTAAAACAGTACATGACCTTAGTGAGCTGATGAAAAATTCTGATTTGAATTGGCCGAGAACGTTTCTTTCATTGACTTTTCATTCATGTTCAGGTCATCTCCGTTACGATTTCTCAGGAATCACCTGTAATTACTACGCTTCGGTGCCATTTTTGACGTGTTCGTCTGACGAATGCCACTGGTGAAAACCGGAATTTTCGAGAAAAGAATTTTATCTGCTCGTTCCAATTTGTCGCTGTTGGAGTCATCGAAAGCATTGCAAAAAGCTCAAATTTTTAAATATTTATCGAAAAAGTCTTTCATATTTCGCATTTGTTTATGATTCCTTAATGATTTGAACAAAATTGCCATAGAACGATGACCTAGCTATTGCTGGATATCTCACATTCAATCTTTTTTTTTGGCCTGAAAAGTTGAACTTAGTCATATGACATGTGTTTTCCAGTGCACTCATCATATTCAACAATTTGTTGAATTGAAATTGATCTGTCAGTGAGATCATTCAGTACTGACACAGATAAATCATGGATTCCCCAGTTGATGAATTGTTCGCATCAGATGATTTCCGTTGATTGGTATGTGCTTGATTTGTGGTGAGTAGTGCACTATGTGAATGTCTTTCTCAGTAATCACATATCGTGTGAAGTGTACTGAGTGCATTTCGCACATTCTATGTATGCAGTGTCACTTTATGCATACCTAATTTATGTGTTAGTGTTAGTGATAAAATATTTTTTGCACGGCTTCGAAACAAAAAACTCGAAGCAGCGTATGTGCTGCATGCAAATTCCCGAGCGTTTTTCAACGCTGGGACCAGCATTGAGTCCCGGGATAGAAGAACAATTATAATGGAACGACAACTCAATGCTGGTGACGAAATAGGGAGCGAAAGTGATAAAATGACGAATTTTTTGTTCATTGCTTTCTGATGAACGAAAGCAGATGTGATAGTAGTATGGATGGTCAATACTTGAATTCATTGAAGTTTGCACGGTGAATTAACAAATATTACTGAATATAAATGAATTGGGAATGGTTAATGCGTGAAGCAAGATGAGCATATCAGCAAAATTATATCAAATGCAGTTTTTTGTCAAGTATCAAAATCCCTGGATTATTCGGGACGTAGATCGCGGGGTGAGGATTCAAATGACAATGTCAGTGTCCCGTGCACAACCGATCATAAAACGAGCATGATGAAAATTTAGGTTTGGCAAAGAGGCCATCATTCACACTTGATGTTGAGGAATAGTGATACTCATGATTGAATCTGCATATTCAGAGCAGCTGATGCTAGTGGTGCCATTCTTAGTGCCCATTGGATCTCTTAGCATGTTCAGTTATAATTTGTCTACTTATAAGTCGAGGAATATTGAAATGAAGTGAATGAATCACTGAAATGATGAGATTAACATCAGCGAGGCATTGTTCACGTGGATTCATCCACGTCCTGCATTTATCTTTGGTAGCATCTGATTTTCTTCGATATGGAAGAAATCATTCGTGAGAAAATACATTAATTGTGAGTATGATATAAGTGAATTTATAATGATCATTGATGGGCATCTGTGCCGTTCGGCGTTCACTCAAATGAACGTCATATAATTGTTTCACACCTTCATTTCGCAACCATTCTAATTCAAATGAGGTCATTTGTCACCGTTGTTTTTTAGGTCAAACAATCAGCTCGCTCTCAATTAAGACTTGATTTTCGATTGCGAAGAGTTTCAATCAAAAAACAGTCATCAAAACATTTCACGTATCGATCACTCGCCAAGTTTGACTTTATATCCGGCTTGAACTGAACAGATTTTCAGATGTTACTTGTTGCTTCTTTCACTGCCCTTCTAGCTATTTGCTCGGCTGAATTTTCTCATAATGGTAAGTTCTTCGTTCTCTGAATTCACTTTGAAATTCGACCAGCTCTTCTTATTTGTGCATCGTAGGTCTCCAGGGTGTTCATTGCGCAATAGATTTGTTGGTTTATTGAAAAATGACGAGACGAACTGAAACCAGAATGCCTCTGACAAATTCCTCATACTGTCATGGTTGATGCCACTTGCGTCTAGCCGCGTTTCGAAATTGCCACGAGAGGTGGAATTGCCCCTACTAGGTATATGAGTAATTATTAAAGATGAAATGACTGTTGATCAACAACTTATTCACCGTTCTCGAGTAAAAATGTTTTATGCGCTAATATCATGCAATTCCATTGCAAAACAGCAATGACGATGCTTAAATATGACATCTGCATCAAAAAAAATTGTGCAAATTCGTTTATCCATTTGAATGGGACCTTCTAACTTGAACAATAATCCATGAAAAGGTTCAATAAGCCGCAATCGATCTGTATGAGATGTTACGTGGATGAATTAATTTCTAGAAAATCGACAGTATACGTGTTTGAGCACGACACCTGGTGAGCCGGCCGACTGTACACTTCGATTCAAAGATGGCGATAATGAACGAACAACAATCAACGATAGCGGCTGCTTTACGGTACGTATTCTCCTACACAATCATATCAATACTTGAGTGCTTTACTTTAGCATACTTCAGTGTACATACAATCTTAGGACTTTCGAAAGTAACACAATTGGTTTCGATGTCAAAACTGTTACGGCTGCACACACGGAAGCATTTACCGATTGACTAACAAAATATGAGACTTTAGCACACTTTAGTGCAAATACAACAATAGCGGACTGTATAATGCGATTGTTTAAGCAACAACATGTTAGAATTGGGCGTTGTTTCTTTGTGATGTGAGTGAATGAATAATGCAGGAGAATGATCCAAAGAGCAGCAAGCAGATGGTTTACTGTCCGCTACAGTGTCCAAAAGCTGACTCTGCTTATGTTTCGCTGAAACGACCATCGAACAACAACAACTGCGTTTCGTTCTTCAGCTATAATGTGGTAAAACGGCAAAATGACTGGTTCTTATGGAGATCTGGAAAGTGTCTTCAAGAAGAAATTCAATTCGATATCGGTTGTACATTCCCATTTAAAAAACCCATATCGAAACGCAAAGCAAACGCTAAATTCAACAGTCAGAAGAGTTCTTAAAGGTTTTGCATAGGTAATTAACAGTGATCGGGGAACATTCATTCCATAGTTCTCATAGCTATTCTTTATATTCCATTATTTGGGTTGTGCGTGGCCGAAAAATTTTTGCAGAATGGAGTGAGTGATTTTGATCCATATTCATTGTGATCGTTATGATCCTTCATGTAGTGCATTG